AACCCACCTTGGCCTCCCAAAGTGCTGGGATTATAGGCATGAGCCATGGCACCCAATCCATTCAATAATTTTAAATGTCCAGTCTAATGCATTAATCATGTTGTCAGTGATCATTCATAGGTATGACTTCTCTCCGCCCGCTGAAGCCAAGCATGGGGAGGCTGCTATCTGCTGGGATGATGACGTGGGCATTCTTGTTTTTCTTATCCAGGTGTGCTTCTCATCACCAGTTTTCTGTCCATTCATCCACTCCCCAAACCTCCAGGATTAAAACAGACGGAATAGGTTTGGGTGCAGCGGCTCAGGTCTATCATCCCAGCATTTTAGGAGGCTGAGGTGAGAGGATTGCTTGAGCCCGTGGGTTCAAGACCAGCCTAGGCAACTTGGTGAGACCTCATCTCTACAATATGTCAAAATATTAGCCGGGTGTGATGACACATGCCTGTAGTTCTAGCTACTTGAAAGGCAGAAGAATCACCTGAGGCCAGCAGGTTGTGGCTGCGGTGGCTGTGAGCATGTCACTGCACTCCGGTCTGGACAACAGAGTGAGTCTCCAACTAAAAAAAAACAACAACAAAAAACCCAGATGGAATAAAGAAGAGGGAGACTTCTCTCTAGTCTGGTACTGTCGCAAGAAGCCTGTGTCCTCTCCAGCCTAGGTAGATATTTAATGTTGGTGATTTCTCTCCTGGCCTTTTTTGAGTTCTTCAGAGACTTTCCTCCTGCTGACCTCTGGCTGTACCCCTACCAATGTGCACAGACTCTCTTTTTAAAGATCCTTGGACCTGGCAGACTCCTTCCTGGGCAAGACCTCCAGGATTCCAGGTAGACTTTTTTTTTTTTTTTTGGTCTGAGTTTCACCCTGCCCAAGCTGGAGTACAGTGGCATGCTCACAGCCTCCACAACCTCGACCTGTCGGGCTCAGCTGATTCTTCCACCTCAGCCTTCCAAGTAGCCAGAACTACAGGCGCACGCTACCATGCCCAGCTAATTTTTTAATTTATTTATTGTAGAGACGAGGTCTCACCAAGTTGGCCAGATGGGTCTCGAATCCACTAGCCTCAGGCAGTGGATGGGGCTCAGGCAATCCACTAGCCTCAGCCTCCCAAAGTGCTGGGATTACAGGCTGAGCCACCAAGTCCGGCTATATATATATTTAATTGTAGAGATGAGATTTTTGCCAAGTTGCCCAGGCTGCTCTTGAACTCCTGAGCTCAGGCAATCCTCTCACCTAGATCTCCCAAAGTGCTGGGATTACAGGCATGCGCCACCATACCCTGGTCATTAACTTCAGACTCAGGAGTGGTTTGGACCCATCACCTTCGCTCCCCAGCTTGGGTGACAAATATCAAGCTCCTTTTTGACCTGCTGAAACCCCTTTACTGAGTTGAGGTGAGATGTTTGGCATCTTCCCCTTCTCTCCCTTTTAGAAGCAAAAACTCATGGCCCTGCTTTTTCCTAAGAAATATAATTCATCATTTCCCCTTTCTTTAATTTCTTCTGTACTGTTAATACCCTTCAGCTGGAAGAGAGGATTCGAGAGTCACAAGTCCTTCCTCAGTTCTGCGTCTGGTCCAACATCTTCTTTGGAAGGCAGCTGCCATCTTATCAGATGAAACCTTCAAAAATTGCCAATATTCAATCGTTTTTTACCTACCACAACAGCAATTTTATTTTGTCTTTATCCTTTGTTTCTTGAGATGCAGTTGTATGTGGTTTATTCCTCCATCTTGCTGCCTCCTCAGTGTGTTGACTGAAACATCCATTTCAACATCCTGTTCCCTAACGATCAACAAGCATCAACCACTCCTCTTGAGTTCTCAGCTTCTTCCAGGTACTAGGGATGCAGAAATGAGCTGGCCAAGATGCCCGCCCTGGAGTTATGGGAACAAGGAGCACAAAAGAAAATCTAGATTTGAGTTGTGGTTCTGCCCCTTCCCCACCTTCTGAGGACACCTTTCCCTTAATCTCCAGGTCAAGTCAATGAGGTTGCAATCTGAGTATGCAGGAGGCCAAGAGCTTCCTGGGGTGTTCCAGGCTCACAGGGGACTGTGGAAGGGACATGCTCCCAGCCTCCTGTTTGCTGCTTCTCTTCTAGCTCTCAAGGGTGATGAAAACCAGATTGCCTCAGACCTGGACTGGCAAGCACAGCAGCTGCCAGTTGTGTGTGGTTACCAAGGACTGGAAATACAGCCAGTCTGAACTGTAATGTGCTGTCAATATGAAACACGCACTGGAGTCTGAAGACTTTGTACAGGTCAAAGAATAGTAAATACCTTATTGATAATTTAGAAATATTGATTACATGATGATATGATAATATTTTGGTTATATTGGATAACTAAAATATATCATTAAAATCAATTTCATTTTTTCTTTTTAAATGGCTCCTAAAAATTTAAAAACACATATGTAGCTCACATGATCTTTTCTTTTTTTTTTTTTTTGAGTTGGAGTCTCACTCTGTCACCCAGACTGGAGTGTAGTGGCATGCTCATGGCCACTGCAGCCTTGACCTGCTGGGCTCAGGCGATCCTTCTGCCTCAGCCTTCCAAATACTACCTTGACTATAGGTATGTGCCACCATGCCTGGCTAATTTTTTGATTCATTGTAGAGACCAGGTCTTGCCAAGTTGCCCAGTTGCATGATACTTCTACAGACAATGCTGTCTTAGACTTTTAAACACAGTAGTGTCTGCCTCATGAATAATCTCCCAGAAGCCGGGCCCAGTGGCTCATGCCTGTAATTTGGCACTTTGGGTGGCTAAGGTGGAAGAATTGTTTGAACCCTGGAGTTCAAGACTAGTTTAGGCAACATACTGAGATCTCATCTCTACAACAACAACAAAAAATAGTGGTGCGTTCCTGTAGTCCCAGCCACTCAGGAGGATGAGGTGGAAATATCATCTGAGCCCAGGAAGTCAAGGATGTAAAAGAAGAGGAAGAAGAAGAGGAAGACAAAGAAGAATCCTACAGAATCCTCAAGGTGACAGAAATCCTCAGTTTTCTCAGAAATACTAAAATACAGCAACTACTACCCCTCGGACATTTGTTCTCTGTAACACTCTTGATAACTTATTTCACTTAATTCTCACAGCCGCACTATGAGGGAGAAATATGACACAGCCCATTTTTCAGAACTAAAAGCTAAGGCTGGGCGAAGGAGTTAGGTCACTTAGTCAAGGTCACATGGAGAGTAATAGCAAGGGCGGGAGGCACGACAGGACTCCAGGGCTGTGTGGCCGCAAGTGTGCACGCTCGACCCCCTTGTCCAGCAATCTCTCAGCCACAGCATCCCATGGCCCCTCCCCATCACGGAGACTCCCAACATTCTCATAACCTTGAAATCCCATGAGCTTCTCCCAGGTACAGAATATGGAAGGTTTTTCCTCTAAGGGGCCCCCATTTCTCTCACAGTGGCATAGGTCAGGTCTGGACTTCTCTGTCCTCATAAAGAGAGTACCAGGACTCTGACTCAAGGAGGCCTGCCTCTCTTCAGACCTAGGGTGAGCTGTTTACACTTTAGAATGTGGGCAGAGTTAGTGACAGGACTGCCCCAGGTCCAAGAGGCACACTTGGCCCGGGATGCAGGCATTGTCAGTGCTTGTGAGGATTTGGGAGCCAGGAGTCCCCTCCCAAGCCTGTCTCCAGTGTGCTGTTGGGAACACGGGAAAGCTGTAATCTCCACCGCTGTGCAAATCTGATTAGGTTCCTCGAATACAAATCTGGTCAGGTCTCTTCTCCTTCAAGGACTCTCTCAGCCCCCATCCCATGTACTTCGAGGACAAAGTTTGGCAAAGTTTGCATCCCCTGCTCACCTCTCTTGGCTAACTTCCTTATCACTCTCACATTCTCCTCCTCTCAGGGCATGACTCAGTACTCGGGAAATGTCCCCCAAAGTATAAGTGGATCCATTCATTCAACTGACGGCCACTGACTTAGGTACTATGAATACAAGTGATGAATCAAATAGACTCAGAAAGAAGTCCAAACTAAGCACAATCCAGGAGAAGCTCATTCTAGTAACAGCTCCTATCATGGAAGATTGGTCATTTCTACAGATTAATAAATCAGCGATCAAAGAAAACCTTCAGAGCAAACAGAGAAGCAAGCCAAGTGAGGGAAGGTCTCTCTAAAAAGTATTCTAAGCTTTCCAGAGTCAGAAGTTGGGCTCCGCTCCGCCAGGAGGCGCTGTAGGATCGCTCGTGGGTTCGGCCCTGCCGCTCTAGGCCGCAGCCCACGCCCTCAGCTGGATTTCCGCCGGCGCTGACTACGGGCAATTTCCGGATGGTATGGCTGCTGTGGCTTGCCGTCCCCCGCCATCGCGTGCCATCGCGTGCAGTTGTACGCCAACTCACGAAATCTCCAGACATCCCACGTTTTCCCGCGCTGTCCGCCCTGTCTTCGCCGCCGCTCGAAGCCAGGGCGCCTGGGTGAGTTCACTACGGGGCGCGTGGTCTGCGCCTCCTCTCCCGTCAGGGAAACTGAGGCACAGAGTGGGGCGGGAAGAACCGGCCGGAGCCCAGGCCCGGCTCCTGGCGCCGTGCTCCGTCCCCGCCCCGGGGTAGGCCCCGGGGATTCGCGCGCCCTCAGCCGCCGCTGCGCCCAGCCGACGCGTGCGGGCGTCCGCCCCTGTCCCCCCAGCCTCCCTGCGGGGGGCCTGGTGCCCCGCCACCCTGTGCCCGGGCCTTGAGCCAGGGCGGGGCACGCCAGAGCCCTGTGGCCTTGACGCCGCGTCCCCGTCTGCCGCTCCCGCCGTGGGAAGCCCCAGAGCCACGTGTCGGCCGCCCGCTCAGTGTCAGTCATGTGCCACGCCCTTAGGACCGTCTCCTCATTTCCGGTCAGTGATCTTAACGGGAGCGCTAAGACCTCCGTCTTACAGGCCAGTTGGCTGAGGGTTACTTCGAGGACTCCCCGGGGCCTGGAGGGCCAGAGCTTAGACTTCTGTCCCAGCCTCGCACTGAAGCCCTTTCCCCCGTTTTCCCTGCCTAGGCCTTTTGGGGCGCGCGGCCTCTTGGAGGCGGATGACTGCGCTTCCTGCTTCCCACCAGCCGGCGCCCCCTTCTCCTGCAGCTCTCTGACCCGCGCCCCCGATGGGCTCCCGCCGTCCAGAGGCTGAGGATATCCCTGGGTAAGTTCTGCTCTTGGGCACTTTGGGAGGCTCTTCCCCAATTGCCACCTGGGCTGGGGGCACCAGCAGAGGGGTGGTTAGGAGCTCAGCGGGTTTTGAGTTCTGAGAACCGTCTGGCAAGTCCTGGTTCAGAAGGAAGCCCGCGGGAGATGGCGGGCAGGCCTTGGGGGTCAGATCCTGGCTAAGGGCCTTCATGTGCCTGAGCCTGCCTTTCTGTAACATGGGGGAACTGCAAAGCTCTGTAGGACAGAGACCTCGATTGATGTTGGTGTTGAGTTCACGGTGCCTGGCTCCATGTAGACACTCAGTGTTTGTGGGGTTCATGAGCAACTGAGGTGTTTTACTGGAAGTTGCTGTTTTATGAACGTTTGATGGAAGCACGTGGGATCTGCTTGGCTGGGCATCTTTCCACTCCCTGGACGTGTAGTGGGAGCTCACACACTAATATGGGCTTTTCTTTCCGGCTCACCTGACCTCTTTGCCCTGTATTCGAAAGTGATCGTGGGCTGCCCGTGCCCTGGTCATTGATAGTGCAGGGAGAGAAAACGCTGAAAGCATTTCCCCGTGTTTGGAGGGTCCACTTTGTCCCTTTACAAACTCTGGAGCTTTCCCACACTGCCTCCCCTCCACCTTTCAGATGCCCTTAGCACTTGGTGTCTGGCTTGTTGAGGGCTGCCTGTGCAAGGAGTCTGTAAGGCTGTAACTGAGGTGTATGGGGTGGATCTCTTCCTCAAGGAATGTGTAGGTTGGGGGTGGAGCCACAGCTGGAGTCACCCTTTCATCCTCACCTCTCAGCACTAGTCACACTGTGGCATTGTTGGTTTACTTGTCTCCGCCTCTCTCTTGCTTTGACATTGAGGGCAGTCTTGCCTCTTGATGTATCTGGTGCCTAGCAGGTGGGGTGATGTTCAGCAGTTATGGAACAAATGGAAAACTGGAGATGGAAAGAAGACAATGTTTTAAGGCGATAGGCTCAGCCACTTGTGGCATCTCAGGGAAATAATTCTGAGCAAGGCCACCTGTGTGGGGTAGTAAGAGCTGCTTTCACTGGCTCAGTATTTATCCAGTGGTGCCCCTTGACAGGGGACTTGCCTGTGACCTGCAGAATGAGTTTCCCATGAATTGTCGTGGAGTCTGGAACCAAAGCAGAGGTCTAACTAGGCACCGCCAACGTAAATGAGCGAGCTGTGTAATCAGCCCTAACCCCCAGGAGACAGAGGTGAGTCACTCCTGCCTGCACCAGACACTGCCAAGCCAGTGACACACTGCCGAACCCATCCCAGGTTCCGAGTCCTGTCCAACATGCTGCTTCAGAACCGCTGCAAATTAATCAGTTTGCACATTGCATGACACTGAAGCCAACTCTGATTAAAATGGTGCGCTCCCTCTCTAGACTCTTCATGTCACAGACAATAAGCCACTTTTAAGGTAATAGCAGCCAATTTGTGGAAACATTTACCACCTGGTAGCTTCTGTTCCAGGTAGTCTCTCTGTTCCTTCCAGAACAGATTTTACCAGGTGATGTCTACATCTGGGGCCTCTTGTGCACAGGTTTAACCAGGTGACACTTTGCTCATCTGGGGCTTCTTGTTTATTGCAGAGGAGGCCATTGGGTGCAGAAGGGCCTGTGAGAGGTGTTTCTGTCCTGCCAGGAAGCAGCTGACTCTGCTGCTTTTGAGGTGAAGGTGTGGGATTTTGTGTTACACAAAGGTTGCATGCAGGTTCTCCGGGTGTGATGTAGTCTGGGGAGTAGATAGAGATGAGATGAGGGTGGCATTTTCCTGGCCCCCAGTTTTACCCTCTTTGGGGCCATCAAGAATGCATTTGGTTTTTCTGAATGTGCCTGCTGGGGTCTAGAGTCCTCAGAGATACTGTCTTCACATTGGTGTGCCTCAGCAGAATGTCTGAATCAAACGCGGGGAGGATTTTGACATCAAATCCTCCTGTGCCTAGGTCTCAGTTTCCTCACTACCACCTCCTAGCTTCGGGACCTTCTCTGATCCTTGGCTTCCTCATCTTAGGATCACACAGCACCTATCTCCACATCCTGGGAACTCTGCCAGCAATCTTATCTGGAAGGTCTCCCGTTTGCCTCCTGTCTGCAGCAGGCTAAGTTCACACAAGGCACAATAGCAGCCGCTGTGTCCTGTGCTCTGCTGTGCTGCTCAGGCCACTGTCCGGACTTCTGACACTGGTCTGCAATTTCAGCAAGCCCTGTGTCCTTTTCTGCCCTGTGTTTAAAGTGACTACAGGCTCCCTTCGTCTTGTTTATCCGCAATACAGGAAAAGTTGCAAGGTTTCCTCATGTGGAAAGGATCTGTTCTTGTCCGTTCAGGACAGACAAGACTTAGGGAACTGTGGCAGTGACCCAGGATGGGCAAGACAGACTGTCCTGAGACCCTGAAACCCCAGGTATTTTTCCTGTGGGTGAATGTAATGGTTTCCTGGCTGTGCAGTGAGCAGTGCCAAGTGTGGTGGTCACGTGTTTCTGTCTTTTTCTTCAGGAGTATCATGTGGCTGTGCTCAGTGGCTGAGAGATGTCCTCAGGAAGAATGTGGGTTGCGAGGTCCCAGGTAAGTGATATCCTGCCTGGTTCTCTAGAGCTCACATTCTCTCAGGCTGTGAGACTGTAAGGTGCTGTGGGGAGGGGTGTGAGGATATAGGAGAGGGCTGCTGCCCTCTTCTCCCGGGTCTAGGGGCTTTCAGAACTTGGTTAGGCTCTGAGAGTCCTGGGAAAGGCCGCTGTGCTGTTGAGAGAAGAATAATGACGCACAGAGGGCTGTGTTTTAGACGCCAAGCTAAATCTATGTCTGGGGCCTGCTGAATAGTCTTCTGGGAGCTTTAGTAGAAATGCTGGTGGATGGTCAGTGTTTGTACTACTCAAACCCAATCCTTTACAGCCCAGGGTTCTCAGTGCTACTGACAGTGTTCACCTTCCCTTTAGCTCCTAGCGGGAAGTGGGAAGACATCTCTGTGATAATCAGAGGTGGCTTCTATAATCTTGAGCTGTAAAGTCTGAGTGTTACCCTGTCAGCTGGTCTGTTTCCAGTTCAGAGCATTCATTGCCCCAAGATGCTGCATTGCCCCCCCCCCCCAGCGTGCCCTCTGTCCTTTCTGTCCCTCCATTGAAAGTATCCATGGGCTGCTGTGACCTGGTAACTGACAGTGCAGGGAGAGGAACTGCCGAGAGCATTTTCCATTTTTGGGAGTCCACTCCTGTCCCTTCCAAGCCTTGGAGCTTTCCCACACCTCTGCCCTCCTTCCTCCTGCTGCCCTTGAATGCCTCCTGGTGCCTGGTATTATGTAGTATGGTGAGTCCCTATTCTCCCTGCCCCGGTCAGGTCACTGAGACCTGAGGGAGAGGTGTGGAGTGGGTGTGAGCCACCACAGGGTTGCCGCCTCCCCTCTCCAGAAGCTTTCTCTGCCCATTTCTCTGCCTGTGCACTTCTCACATCCTTAGCCAACTTCTCTAGCACCGAGAAGACCACATAGACGTTGGCTGCTTAGCTGGTCTCCTAGCTGTGATTTTGAGGACGATGTCTGAGTTTTGTGCCTTGTCCTGCTCTCTGCCTGCCAGGTGGTCAATGTTCCATTAGTGTGGGAGAAATGGAAAACAAGAAGGGTAGTGTGCATTTGTTGTAAGGAATTAGGGTTCATCACACTGTGGGATGTTGGGCGGTACTCATTAAACTCCCGTGTGTGAATTGAGGGAGTTGGGAGTAGATATGGTGTTTTCCACCCTTGTTTCAAAGAATACTTCATGTGATTTAGTTCTGTTGGTCCTGGCCTTGTGTGGCCACTTGGGGGAGGATTTTTCCTCCAGCCTGTGGGTAAGGAAGTAAGGACCAGAGATGGGCAGAGCAGGATAGAGCTGAGAATTTGTGGAAGCAGCCCTTACACCCCCTTTCACCCCACCCCCAGATCCATGCCAAGCACTGCTAGAGAACATGGCAGGCTCCCAAGAACACCACGGCCCCAAGATCCTTTTGAACGTGGTACTTGGTAACATCTGGCGGCGGATAACAGTTGGCTTGACGGATATGTCACCCCTGCCTTAGAAGTTCTCCAGCACCTTCCATAGAGGTAAGCTGCTTTTCTTCCTAAAAGAGTATAGCTGTTCAGGTGATGATGAGTCAACGCAGATGCAGCACTGCAGAGAGGCTTAGAGGTGTCATGATAGAGGAGAAAGCAAATCACAGGGCCTGAGGGGAGGTTCCTGGTCCATTCTCTGGAGTTGGTAGCCTTTTGCACCCTGTAAAGTGATATCCCCTTTTTCCAGTGCTGTGGTGATGATAGAGGGAGATGAGGATGAGAAGAGGGGTGATGTTCCATGGATTCCCAGGTCCAGACCCCCTTCCCTAGGAAACCTGGGTCACATTTGGTCCCTTCCTAGGGACAGCAGAGGGAGAGGAGGTGTCTCGAGGGGAGAGAGCACTGAGCTTTTCCTGTGTTGGGTCAGCAGCAGCAGCAAGGGGTGGCATTTTGCCATCAGAGATGTCCACACCTGGCTCTTAATTCCTCCTCTGCCACCATCTGGCTCTGTGACCGTTTTCTTTCTAGTTGTAATCGGTGGGTAAGATGGTCATAGCAGATTAGAATAACAGCTGGATGATAAGGAAAAAAGGCAGGAGTGGAGTTTGGGGAGTTGTGCAGGCCTCCTTATGCTCTCTGCCTCCCTCAGAGGCAGAACCCACCCAGAACCCACTCTTCCCCTAACGGCAAAAATGCATTCAACTTGTGTGTAGCGTTTCTGCTTGGGGGTGCCCAGCAGAGACTCAGTGCCCAGGGCTTCTACTGGGGGCAAGTCACGAAACACCATCTGCCTGGCATGTACCAGCTATCAGACTCCCAGGGAAAGCAGGTGTTCGGCCTACAGCACGTTCTTTGTACAGTCTGCCCAGTGAGCCACTCCGATTGGTTAACTGTTGACTGGGTACACTCAAAGCCAAGTGACCAGATGCCAGCCGAGGCCCATATGACCTGTTTCGAATTTCAATTTCCTGGTGTAGAGAACAAAACCATGCTAGAATTGATTTTTACAGACATGACCACATAATCCTGATCTCCAGCCCCCAGATTTTTCCAGTGTTTTTGTCAGAAATGTCTCCCCTTCGCTTCCCCTTGGGGGTTAGGTTTTTGGGGTCCTGCAGGACAGATGGCAACTCAGGTCAGTCCACAGCCCTGGCACCAGCCCCCTGTCCTGTCTGGCTCTTCTTTTGTCCTTTTCTGCTCCTGCATCTGAAAGTGATCATGGGCTGCCTGTGCTCACATCATTGAGTGCCCCTCCCAGTGTGTGCTGGCAGTAGCTTGTTGAAGTGGGAAGAGGGCCACATTTTGGAGTTGGGCAGTTAGCGAGGGGTTCTCTGTACCTTGGTGGGAATCCTTGTTACTAAGTGACTTATGGGTACTGTCACAGTCCCAGACTTCCTGACCCAATGAGTTCTCAGTGTTTCCCCAGAAGTTGGTCTTCCCTCTCACTCTCTTAGGGAAGCATTAAAGTAAAGTAGTGGTTCTCAAACTGGTTCCTGAACCAAGAACCATCAGCGTTACCTGGGGACTCGTAGGAATGCAAGTTCTCAGGCCCTGTGCTAGACCTACTAACTCAGAATTTTGGTGACTGGAGCAGCAGTCTGGCCTGACATGCTTCCCACGCGATTCTTACTCAAGTTGAAGCTCCATGTTAGAGATACATTGAGAATCAGGTAGCTGCTGCAATTATAGGCTGCAGATCTGGTCAGTGATTTTTCTCCCGGTCTCTTATCCCAGCCAGAGCCTTTTCTAAGTTGTTCTGACTCACTTTCCTTTTCTGCCCCTGCATTCGAAAGAGATCGTGGGTTGCCTGTGCCCTGGTCATTGATAGTGCAGGGAAAGGAATTGGTGAAAGTGTTTCCCTGTGTTTGGAGAGTCCCCTCCTGTCCCTTCTGAACTCTGGAGCTTTCGTACATGTCTCTCTTCTCTCTGGCTTTGTTCCCCCTGGGAACCTGGTGCTGTATGGTTAACAGAGTGCCCCTGCTGCCCAGCATGGTGCAGGATCTCAAAGGCTTAAGGAAAGGATGGCAAGCAGGATCCTGTTTTGGGGTTGTGTATCGTGCCCCTGCTCTGTGAGCTTCTTGAAGGTAATGCCTCTGTCTTGTTTCACGTTGTGCCTGATGCCTGGGATGTGGCATCTGGACATAAAGACAACTAGAAAACACTGTATCGTGATAAGGCTCGTCTAATTGAGTAGTGTCAGGGTTAGAAATGCCCCTGAGCAAGCCAGCTGTTAGTCTACTTAGTTCTGGCCATGGGAAGGACCTTTGTTCCTACCAGGGGTGGAGTTTCCCCCTGGCCTTGCATTAAGGTGGCAGGGACTGGAGTGTAGGTAGACAAAGCGTTGTCTAGGCAGATGTGTAAAAGCAGTCCTTAGATAGTTGGCGCGGGTCCTTCCTGCTGCCTGTACCCTTGCTGGGCCTGTGCTAGTTGCTGCCAGTTGTGTGACCTGCTTTCAGAAACCTAGCCTCGGCACCCTTTTTTGAAAATAAATTTTGGTGTTTTTAGAACAGGGTAATGGGACACATAGACATAAAGATAGCATAATGGTTACTGTAGTGAAGCAGATTACCCTGTCTTATGGTTACCTTTTCTCTGGGTGTGTGACAATGCACCAAAAATCTGCTTATTTAACAAAAATCCCTGACACAGCACAGTCTTGGCAACTGTAGCTCTGTGTATGTTAGGTTTGGATATGTTCATTTTGCATCTGCCACTTCATGTTCTTTGTGCATCTCTCTATCTTTTCTCTCCACCCATGGTAGCTAGTGTTTTACTGTTTTTTATTCTCTAGCTGTATATTTGACTGGCCTTTTTTTTTTCCTTCTAACATTCTGCACAATATAAATGAGCTTATGTGGTGTTTTTCTGTGCCTGGCTTATTTCACATGGTACTATGTCCTCAGTTCATCCATATTGTGGCAGATAGTAGGATCTCTTTTTTTTAAGGCCGAACAGTACTCCCTTGTGCGTGTATGTGCGTGTGCACACCACATTTTCTTGATCCATTTGTCTGTTGATTAGCATGTAGGTATCATGAATAGTGCCACAATGAAGATGGGAGTGCAGACATCTTTAGGAGGTGTGACTTCATCTCCCTTGAGTATATCCCAACAGTGGGATTGCTGAGTCTTGGCATCTGTTTTTGTTTTTTTTTTTCCACTCAGTCTGGGTCTAGTGGCACAGTCACAATTTGCTGCAGCTTCGACCTCCTGGGCTCAGGCACTCCTTCTGCCTCAGCCTCCCAAGTAGTTGGGACTACACATGCCACCATGTCTGGCTAAATTTTTGATTTTTTTTTTTTTTTTTTTTTGTAGAAATAAGGTCTCATTATGTTGCCTGAGCTGGTCTTGAACTCGGGCTCCAGCAGTCTTCTTGCTTCCACCTCTCAGTGCTGGGATTACAGGTGTGAGTTACTGTGCCTGGCCAGCATCCTTTTAACATGCACTGATAAGCAACAAATTGATTACTGTTGGCACATGGGATAACATGGGTGTCATTCCTGACCCTGATGGTTTGTAGACCCCTTCCTAGAGTTAAATCTTGTTTCTGAGAGTAGTGTGGCAATAAGTACTAGTAGTAACAGCCAGCATGTGTGGGGTGCTTCAGTCTGCCAACCCTGTACCATGTGCTCTGTGTGTTATAGATGCATGTGCTGTGTGTAGAAGCTTTGTGGGACATGTCTTCATAGCATCAGGAAGGGATAAAGTTTCTGGACTTTTCCCTGGAATGCTGTTTTTCTGCATCCTGTAAAGTCATGCGCTTGTTCCCTGGAGCTTGTCTGATGATATCAGGGAAGTGGGGTCAAAGTGAGTCCCCATTGTGTCCTGCTTGGGGCAGTTCCTTCACCAGCAGCTGCAGAGAAGGGACCTCCAGAGCCCTGTTTGGTAAAGAGCTCCTTGGGACATTGCCTCCCTCCTGTGTGCTGCCGTGTCAGCTGGCACTATGATGGGCAATATGTGGATTCAGGTTCCAGGGCCTCTGTCCCACCTTTGAACCTGTGTAGCTCTGTGACCTGCCCTCGGCTTCCACTTCTTGATTTGACAAGCACATCTGGATTAGCTGTGAGGTTTTGGTTTTTTGGTGTTATAAGCACATGCTCCTTCTGACCTTTTCCAACACAGAAGCATTTCCTTTTTCATTCTGGAGTATCCCCATGGGGTCTTTGCATGTACTGCGCAGTGGCTGCCGTGGGGCCTCTGCTCAGCTGGGCTGTACTCCTTGACTCGAGCCAGGCCCCAGGCCCCTGGCACCAACCTCTCCTTCCTGACTCTGTCCTTTCCTGCTTCTGCATCTGAAAGTACTGTGGGCCGCCCTGCTTTAGTCCTTGATAGAGCAGGGAGAGGACTGCAAATAAAATGGGGCCAGAAAAGCTGTGGATTACTTTTATCTGGCTAGTTGCCCTGACTATAAACTGTTGGAGAGGACATCATTGATTGTAAAAATAGAACTTTGCTATGTTTTTCTTGTTTGTCCTTTCTATTGGGGTTTCTAATTCAGTGTGCGTAAATTGGGAGCCTAGGCCTGCTTGATTGGAACCCACAGTGGCATCAACTGGGGAGAAGGTGCCTCTGAGGACTGAATTCTTATATGCTTCCTCACCCCCTTAGGTTTCAACCTTAGATCCAGAGACTGCCTGAGGAAGTCCTAGGCCCATGAAGTCTGATCCTGGGGATGGCCTGGGATCTGGGTTTGCTGATACTTCTCACCATGGTGAGTTGATGCCAAGGACTGGGGACCCACAGCTGGAGGCTAAGCTGGTCTGTGTGATGCAGATGAGAACTTACCAAGCCACTCACCTGTCCTTTCTTTTAGAATGTCTTGGTGTGTTCGTGGACAGCAGAGGGGCAGAGAATGGAGAATGAGGTCGCCGGTCGCCACAGTAGCATCACCAGAGCTGCTACCTGCTCAGTGCATCACGAAACAACTTGCACTCTGCATGAGAATCGGGGTTCAGACATGGGAGAGTTAAGCTGTCTCTGAGTTTTGACAACAGTGCCTCCATGGCCAGGGAGGGCAAGCTCCGTGTCCCTCTGCTGTGCCGGGAATGACTTTTTAATGAACGAGTTTTTCTCTTGGATTTGTAACTGCTGTTCACTATCACCCACCCATTTAATAAACCTTACACTTGGTCACTCCCATTGAAATCAGTGACAGCCCATGATCCTCAAGGTCTTGTTTTCAGTCCTTGAGCCTTTCCTGTTCTTAACCTTTCCTGGAGGCCTGGCACGTGGGTTATGGTTTGAGGTACACAGTTGGGACCAGGAGGTGAACAAGTGCAGGTGGTTGGCTCACTTTCGGGATCCCTGGGAACTGAAGGCATTGCAGAATTGTCAGGTGGGTTGTGAGGTGAGACCATCTGATGTCTTTTGGGGAGCCTGGAGTGCTGGAGTTCTGAGACCTGGCCCATAAGTAAATGCCTCCTTGGGAGATCAGTTGTCCCTAAGATTGAGTCATTTCCCAGGAAGTGGGGCTTTCATTGTTAAAACCTGGGCAAACTGGGTGAATTGGTCAGCCTGTCTGGGATGTAAAATTATAGTGTCGAGGACAGATTACTGAGTGAGGAGGGAGTGGGGTGAGCAGGAAGCAGCTAGTGTTGGGACTGAGGGGTGCCCTCAGGGTCAGGCTTTAGAGGTCACTGGGGCCAAGTCAGCAACACAACAATGAGATGAGGATGTGCTGCAGGAGCCTTTCATCCCCATTTGCGGAGGCCAGGGATCTGCACAGAGAGGAAGTGTGTCCCAAGGGCAGTCATGAAGTGAGTTAATGACCCCATTTCTCCATTTGAAGTGAGAACCACCCTGACCACCCCTGGGGCAGAATCTGGGCTGTCTTGAGTGACTTGTGGCCCAACTCCTGTCCTCAAACATCCTCCCTCCACTAAGGAATCCACTAAGGAATCCTCCTACTGTATATGAAGTACTGCACCAGGCTGTAAACTGGATGATGGATGAGAACTTGAGAGTGAATCTCACCGACTTGGATTGGTCAATATGTGTGTAATTGGTTTAATAAGTGGCCTGAAAGCAATAGGAAATCATCTTTTTCTCCAGCTGCCACCTTCAAATATCTCATTTTGGAAACCGTAAGACTTGCCTCCAGGAATGAAAAAGTCCAATCCGTTCTAAATCACCTGTTAGATCTCACCCACCATTGACACCTTCACCTTCAGGCCTGATGGGTAGCTTGGGACTCGCAGGTGGGAAGGGAGCACGGTCTGTTTTTTTGGCTTCCTTCTCCGCATCTCTTCTGGCTTCCCCCTCATTTCTCCCCCAGCATGTGTGGGCCTAGTAGGAAGGAAGGGGACAGGGTGAAGGTTCACATAATGTATTGAGAAGGGGAAAAGTGCAAAAATTTACATAATTGACACAGGTAATCGGGCCACCAAATGGTGAGGTTCACAGGGTGCCTATGGGGACACACACACTTCCTGAGGGGTGTGTTGTCTTCGCCTCCTGTCCCCACTCCCATCTCAACTGGCCCAAGACAAGGAAGGGCATAAAGAAACACAGATTACTAAATAATATGGCATTTCTCTCCCTGTGTGTTTGCAGGCATACGTAAATAGTGACTACTTATATAGAGATTTTCTCCTTGTCCAGAGAAATCAGAAGGCAGGTGGCTGGCTGAGGCGTCCATGATGGCGAATGTCTGAAGTTTCTTTAGGGTCAAGCAGCAGGCTTGGGCTACCTTGCTTTCGTCAGGGGGCCAGAGTGGAATGATGGGGATCACAGGAGGGCATATTGCTCACATTGAGGGAGTGTGTTTGTCCCCGTAGGCCACCTCTGCATGTCTGTATATCCCCCTCTTCAGCAACTCTGTCTGGATTTACAGTCTGCTTTTTACACAGACTGCAGGGAGCTAGAGGGGGAATGGCACCAGAGCTGGATTGATCACCTTGGCTTTTGCCTTAAATGTGAGGTTACTTAGCACTGTCTTTAGCTTTGAGCCTTTGGCTGACGTCTAGGGATGATATGAAATGTCTCCTTCAGCATTCCCTCACCTCTAGCATTTGTGAAATTAAGTAGAAATGATTGTATATGCAGCTGCTTTTAATTACCCTTTTACTGTCGGTTACTTTTTTCTTACTATATCTTCATGAACTCATGTCCTATTGCTAGACTGTGACATTTTTCCAAATAGCATTAAATTGTCCCTACTTGGCTAAAGACAGCCCTATCTGGAGCAGGGTTGACTATTTCAGACGTCACTGAGTGCGTCTTTGTTTTCTTCCAGCCACAAAACATTCTGGGTTCATGTTGCCTTTTTGACTGTAGAATGCATGTTCAGACATAAGATACGGTGTCTGACCAGGACACACACACATACACCTGTGCATGTCTTTAAAAAGAAGTGCTTTATTAATGGAAAACTATGGTTCCATTAAGTGGTTTTAATCAACTGCTTAGGAGATTCTTTCCCCCATTAAGCAATCAGTTCTGTAACTCTGCAACACCTAATCACTCATTTTGAACCTATTTGTTTTCCAGTAACTTGACACAGTTTGAATGTCCAGTTAGAATCCTTAATTCAAAGGTACAGCCTTGGCTGGGCACAGTGGCTCACACCTGTAGTCCCAACTACTCAGGAGGTTAAGGAGAAAGGATTGCTTGAGCACAGGTGTTCAAGGCTGCAATGAGCCATGACTGTGCCACTGCACTCTAGCCTGGGTGACAGAGAGACCCCAACTCAAAACCAAATAAAGTTATGGCATTTAAGGAAGAAAAATACTCCTTTGCAGTTATTGGCAAGTGAAATTCTATCTAGCAAATGAATACTTGTACAATTTTAAAAAATGCTTATAATTACTTTCCTCCTGTGTAATTGCACTTTCAGGAGTGACTAAAAAAATCCTCTAATGTTTCTAGTAACCCTTGTGCCCCTCTTTCTTCCTAATTTATTCAACTCACCCAGGACTGTAGGAACACTGGTGAGTCTTCAGGCTTGCAAATGTACCATCTTCAAAGTTCCCTTTTCGTCTTATACATTCATCTGAGTAGGTGATTATCTTACATGGACTTCCAGCCTGGGACAGATAAAGAAAACTGCGTTGACCTGAATTAATGTTGCAATTAGAAAACAACTCCAGCAGTTGCAGTCATTCTGCAGCTCCTTGGTCAGTCACTCCACCCAGTGCTGTTCCTTCAGAGGCAGATTGTTTGAGGTTATGTTGAGGTCCCCAGGAAATTGCCAAGTTTCCAAGAAGTTAGGGGAAGCCCAAGGCTGGACAATTGTCCCCCAGGAAGATGACATGAGTGTGTCTCACCACTTCAAAAATTCATCCCTGGGCAGGGTGTCTCTGTAACCAGAGTTAGTGGGAAATGAAGTGGGGAGTTTGGTGAATTAGAAGACTAATTTTGTTAACACAGATGTACCAAGACTAACATTTCTGGTGGAGACATATTTTATTGCACTTTGCAGGTACTGTGTTTTTTACAGATTGTGGCAACCCTGTGTCAAACAGTCTGTTGGCACCATTTTTCCAACAGCGGGGGGCTCACTTTGGGTCTCTCACATTTTGGTAATTCTCACATATTTCATTTTCATTATTACATCTGTTATGGTGATCTGTGGTGGGTGATCTTTGATATTACTATTGGAAATGTGTTGGGGCACCACAAACCGCACACATATAAGATGGTGAATTTAATCGATTATTGTCGTGTATGCTCCAACTGCTCCCCCAACTGGCCATTCCCTCGTCTCTCCCTCTCCGCTGGCCTCCCTTTTGCCCGAGACACAGTGATAATTAAATTAGATCAATGAATAAGCCTACAATAGCCTCTAAGTATTCAAGTGGAAGGAAAAAGTTGCATATTTTTTGCTTTCAATCAAAAGCTAAAAATGATTGAGCTTAGTGAGGAAGCCATGTGGAAAGCTGAGACCCGTCAAAACTAGGCCTCTTGCACCAAACAACCAAGCTGTGAATGCAAAGGAAAAGTTTTTGAAGGAAATTAAAGGCACTATTTCAGTGAATACATGGATAATAGGAAAGTGAAACAGCCTTATTGCTGATATGGAGAAAGTTTGAGTGGTTTGGATAGAAGATCAAACCAGCCACAACATTCCTTTAAGCCAAAGTCTATTTCAGAGCCTTTACTTCTATGAAGGCAAAGAGGTGAGGAAGCTGCAGAGGAAAAGGTGGAAACTAGCAGAGGTTGATTTATGAGGTTTAAAGAAGCCATCTCCATAACATGAAAGGTCAAGGTGAAGCAGGAAGTGCTGATGGAGAAACTACAGTTAGTTAACCAGAAGATCTAGTTAAGATCATTCATGAAGGTGACTACACTAAACATGTTTTCAGTGTAGCTGAAACAAACTTCTTTTGGAAGAGGATGTCATTGAGGCCTTCCATAGCTAGAGAGGAGAAGTCAATGCCCGACTTAAAAGGACAGGCTGATTCTCTTGTTGGGGCAAATGCAGCTGGTGACTTAAGTTGAAGCCAATGCTCATTCATCATTTTTAAAACCCTAGGGCCCTTCAGAATTATGTGAAATCGACTCCTCCTATGCTCTATGAATGGAAACAACAAAGCCTAGATGACAGCACATCTATTTACAGCATGTTTTACTGAGAATTTTAAGCCCACTGATGATACATGTTCAGAAAATATTCTTTCAAAATATTACTGTTCGTTGACAACACACCTAGTCATCCAAGAACTCTGATAAAGATGTACATGGAGTCTAACACTGTTTTCATGCCTACTAGCACAATACCCATTCTGCAGCGCATGGATCAAAGAGTAATTTTGACTTTCACGTCTTTTTTTTTTTGAGAGAGAGAGTTTCACTCTATCGCCAAGGCTGTAATGCAGTGACACAATCATGGCTCACTGCAACCTCCGACTCTTGGGATTAAGTGATGCTCCCACCTCAGCTCCTAGGTAGCTAGTACTACAGATGCATGTCACCATGCCTAGCTTTACATACTTTATTTTATTTTTTGTAGAGACAGGGTCTTGCTAAGTTGTCAGGGCTGGTCTCAAACTTCTGAACTCAAATGATTCTCCTGCTTTGGCCTCTCAAAATGTTGGGATTACAGGTGTGAGCTACTGTGCCCAGCTGACTTTCCAGTCTTATTACTTAAGAAATATATTTCATAAGGCTATAGCTGCTATAGATGGTGAGTACTCTGATGGCTTTGGGCAAAGTAAATTGAAAA